GTTCCTAAGTACCATATTCATATATTGTATACTGAAAGCTAGTGCAGATGAGAAAACAACATTCACTTCATTCTATCCCAACAACAAGTCTAACTGCCCAGAACTTCCTTAACTTCTTTCGAAGAAAACCTGCATACAGTACAATGCTTACTGGAACAATATTCAAACACATAGCTAGTCATTTGCTAGAGAAATGATTGTCACTTACAGAATTGTATTCAGAATTGTATATAGAATTGAGCTCATTGTTTTCCCATGTATGTTTTCATTTCAATCCTTTTAAAGTATTTTTTGGAAGATACAAATTGACATCCTTGGTTACCTGATAGCATTTATGTTTGAACTGTTAAATGTTATATTCAAGTATTCCTACTCAAGTTGCAGTTATTTCTATCATTCAATAGTAAATAGGAGCAGAAGAGCTAATAATGGGTTTTTATCTTTCTGGGTGTTGATGACAAGAGGAACTGATGTAATTACTACTTAATACAATAGGTTATTGACTATGTAATAGTATACATGTGATTATATGTTATGAAAATGGAAAATAAAAAAAAGTATGTTTCATTAAAAAAATAGTAAATAAGTTTCTAAAGAATTCACATAGCAACTTTATTCTTACTAGTTCATTTGATCAGATTACTATAGAATCTTCTAAGATCTCAAGAAAAGATTGTGCTGTAGCTGTAAATGCAATTATAACTTTAATACTGAAAAACTTCATGAAATAGTGTATAGCCAATTTTCTGTCGCATTAATATTTTATTTGGCTTGTAGTTGTACCTCATATTACTGATGCTGTTCAAGAATGGGTAATGAATCAGGCAAAAGTTCCTGTGGATGATGATAAGAAAGAACCACAGATATGTGTAATTGAAGTGAGTATGAATTTTCTGTATGTAGCTGTGAGCAAGGGCTTATTTATTATATTTATTCTTGATTATAATCCCAAGGGACTCTTGGTGGTTTATGAATACAATTCAAACATCCATGGTCAGCATTAAAGTAATAATACAAAAACTCTAAAAAGCATAGAAAATAACCTAAAATCCTGCTATCAAGTCCTAAGCACTTTCCAGAAGAGCTCTATTTTCAGCTGCTTCCAGAAGACAATTAATGTAGAAACTAACCTTACCTCTAGCAGGAAGCCATTCCAGAAAGCAAGAACTGCTACTAAAATAGATATAAAATCTTCTCACCTCAGGCTGCGGACAATGCCCTAACTGAAGCTGGGCATAGCCCTCATGACTGCAGCTTCCACCTGCTGTTTCAGCAGGAACTGCAAATCCAGAGGAGTCCCCAGGTGATGAACCGGATTCTTTATACTGTATGTGTCAGCCTTACCAGATAGATCAGATAGGGAACATGAATGAAAAGGCTAATCCAGTTTTATTGTAAAGCTATATGAAGAGAATCTTGCAAGTATGATGAAGGTATAAATCTTCCATTGTCCTAAAGGTGCTTTATCCACAAGTAACTGGACTTTCTTGATTTTTTCTTTGGAAACATTTTGTTTCTCATCCAAGAAGCTTTTCAATTCTAACTCTTGGAGCAATAAGAAGCTTCTTGGATGAGAAGCAAAATGTTTTCAAAGAAAAAAATAAGAAAGTCCAGTTGCTTTTGGAAAAAGCACCTTTGGAGTAAACATGACTTGGATGATTGAGAATCTCCATAGGTAAATTTTCCACTGTCTCTTTTACTGCCTGAGAAACTAAAGTCTTATCTGACTGTTTCCTGTTCTGAATTCCAATGGATGTGTCCATTGGATGTGGATGGATGTGTCCATTGGATGTGGATGGATGTGTCAATTGCTCATCTTCGCTTTCTTTGAAATCGCTAGCAACTGTCATAAGCAGGGAGGATGGGGCATCTGGGAGGGGAAGTATACTGGAGGTGTGAAAGAATGCTATGGGGAATTGGAGAGTATTGACACTAATAGGAACCAGAGATGGCAACTTGAGCCATCTGCCAAGCTTCAAGGAAGCCAGCCCTGTGACAGGAATTTACATTGGTGCCTGAGGCACCAAGTTCCCAAAACATCAGAACGGCACCTGATTGGACTGCTCTCCTGGGGGGAGAATTTTGGATACTGGGGATTACATTCAATATATGATTGTCGCATGGTTTTTCCTCAGAGCTTGCTTCATCCATGCTGCACTCAGCATCTTGCTGTGGCCTATCAGCCACCAGTCCCTTCAGCAGCTGAATCAGAGAAGAAGGAGGCATGGGAGTCAGAGTCAGCACCAAAGCAACCCAAGAGCTCCAAGAGGGAAGAGGGAATGGAGCTGGCAGAGATAGAGAGGCAGAGGTGGTCATCTGTCAGCCCTCAGATGGAGAGTCAGCAACCCCTAGATCTGGAGGTGGCTGATGAGAAACAAAAGGAATGGCTTGGTCCAGTGCCTGATGCACAGAAGGCAGAGGAGATAAAAGCAGTGGAAATCTGTGGGCTGATCTTTGAGAAAGAAGATCCACCGTTGCTAGCAAGCCCCACCCTAGCTGTGGGGATAAACGGCAGGGGGCAGAGATGAATAGATGTGGCAGACAACTATTCATCTTCAGGTTGGATGGACTTGTTAGCCTGCAGTGAGAGAGAAACTTTTTGCAGGGGCTGCTGGCACTCCTAATAAAGGAATCGCTGAGTTAACCTTAGGGGTGGCGTCATGTTTGGGGAGCTGGGTCAGAATATATATCTCTAGTAAAAGTATCTTTTTCTAAACCCTCTAGATTGAAGGATCATCCTTTCCTAGGGGAGTAGGTGGGGCCAGTCTGACAGTGGACAAGCACTGCTATAGCAGTTAACCAGGAGTGTCTACTGAGGGGACTGAGCAAAAAATGACAATCCATGAAAGTGGCAGGGAAGAGGGGTCACCCTGCCAAATTGCATCGCCCCAAAAAGGAGCTTGAATGACTGGGGAACTTGAGCATCGGTGAAGAAACCTGAAGCCCTGTCGGTCGATCACCCAGGGGGTGAAGGAGAAGGATATGGAAGAAAAAGCCCTCAGCATGATGTACACCTGGGAAACCATGGAGCCAGAAGACAGGAGTGTCATGGAGATCATGGTGAAGAGGAGTTCCCAAGGGACGTGGATGAATAAGAAGACCTGGTAGAGCAAGCCTGAAGGGTGTTAGAGATGTCTTTGAGAACCAGTGATTCAAAGAACTCCTGGCTCAACTAAAAGAGTCTTGACCCTGACTGGGGCTGGTGGGAGATGGCACTGCAGTGCAGGCAGCCACAATGGGGGTGGCAGTCTCATCCAGCCATGTCCTTACTCAGGCAGCTCCGTGACTTCCCCAATGGGGTCCTGTCCTGCCAAGACCTCCTGCCCTGGACTTGAAATATGCAGGAGACCGAAAACGACTGGAGTTTTTCTTCATCCAGGTGTGGAATTATATGCAGGAGGACAGAGTCGACCTGACCAGTGAAGCAGCTCAGGTATGGTGCATGACCATGGCCCTGGAAGGTACCACTGCAGAGTGGATGGTCTCCCTCCACAATGACAATGTGTCAGAGCTCCAAAGCTTCCACCAATTGATGATGGCCTTGTACAAGTGGTTCAAAGACCCACTCGCCCAAAGGAAGGCCTGAACCTACATCAAAATAATCAATCAGGATTTCAAGGAAGTAGCAGAAGAAACCAAGAGTTTCATGAACTAGTGTGCCAGCTAGCTGGAGGACATCATAATAAAGTGCTTTCAAAATAGGCTCAATGATAATATATACAACACTTGCATCTCACAGGGAGGGCCCTCCCCCGCACCCTCCACCAGTGATACGTGACAGCCAAAGAGGTGGAGATAGACCTGGCTAGATCCCAAAATTGAAACTCCCCCTCTGCAAAGGCAGATGTCCCAAGAACACTCGGATGCAACTTCAGCCCCAAATGCCGACCTCCTGGATTCTTCAAGTGCAGGAAGGAAGGGCACTGAGCCACCAACTGCCAACTCGCCAAAATAACCCCAAAGACCACTGCCAACTCTGGGGAAAAGGTGGGAGAAACTATCTCAAGGCCCCACAAGATGAAGTGGTTGAGTTCTCCCCTCCTGACAATGGGGAGCGAGGAACTTTGACCACCCCAGAAAGAAGCAACACTGACTCTGACAATCCCCTGATAAGTCACCTGTGAACCCTGTCACCATCCCAGTAGAGCTGAATGTGCCATCATTGGACACCCAGGGGAAGGTGTGGGCCTTACTGGATTTGGGTTGCCTCAGATGCGTGGTGAGCCCAGAGTTGGTGGAAAAATAATGGTATTCTATGACCCCCAGAGAGGTGGAAGAGCTCCGTGCATACTGTACATACATAAAAACCTACAATGCAGTTTCATCCAGCTGGCCAGACCCTGGGTAGCCACCCCTGTCCTGTTCTGGGAAAAGAAAAGAAAGATGGCTCTCTTTGCTTGTGCATGTACTATCACAGAGTTAACACAGTCTGTGTGGAGAATTTATGTCTCCTACCACTCATGAAGGACATGCTAGCCCACTTAGCCAAGTCTTTACAAAACTGGTCTTACGTGAAGCGTATTACTGAGTCAGGATTAAGGAAGGGGATGAGTGGAAAATGGCTTTCAACTGCTCCCTGTGGTGTTTCCAATTCCGAGTGCTACAGTTTGGATTGCAAGGAGCTCCTGCCGTATTCATGCAGCTAATAAAAAAGTCCTGCACTTATACAAAGGGGTATTTAGACAACATTCTAATCTGAAATGAAGGACAACCATGTTCAGCTCATACTAACTATATTTTAAAAATTGCAGCCAGCCAAGCTGTATGTTAATCTTTCAAAGTGTGAGTTCCATAAAGACAAAATTGAATACTTGGGATACCGAATCCCACAGGAAAGGGTGAAAATTGATCCAGAAAAAGTAAGGGCAGTCCTGGAATGCCCTCCACCCTCACATGAGGAAGCTACTCCAAAGTTTCTTGGGATTCACAAAGCGGCTGTTTGGAGTGGTACCTGTGCTGGAAGACCCAAACCCAAACGCCTCATTTGTAATCTAGGCAGATGCTAGTGCCGTGGCCATTGAAGCTGTGTTGCTGCAAGAAACTTCCCAGGGAATCCTTCAGACCTGTGCTTACACCTCCAAAAAAATTAATGGACACAGAATGAAAGTGGCAGTCTGGGAGAAGGAAACCTATGCAATTTGATTGCCGTTACTAACTTTGCGACATTTCTTGGAATGATCAAAATATATATTTAAAGTGTGGCCACATCACAAGAACCTAGAAGTGTTTTTGTTTAATTAAAACAATAAAAAAAAATTCAAAAAACTAAATAAATCATTAAATCAGCCTCTCTTACCATCACCAATTAAAACCATACCCCGAAGAAGAAATAGAGCCAGTAGATTCTGAGTAGTAAACAATATCACAATGATTATAAACCATAAAAACAATAATCTCACAAATTTGCCTAAATTATTACTGAGAGCATCTATATGTATTTTTAAAAGCATCCTTAAACTGAAGTACAGATTGAACTATGCCTTTTCATTTGCTCAAACTAATTAACTCCATATGTTATCTTTTAGTTGGGTGGAACTATTGGAGATATTGAGGGAATGCCCTTTGTAGAAGCTTTTCGACAGTTTCAATTTAAGGCCAAAAGAGAGAACTTTTGCAATATTCATGTCAGCTTAGTACCACAGGTAAGTATTTCTCATCATATGTTACTGCTTTACTCATTTTAAATTTGATAAAATACTAAATTCAGAGATTTTTGAAGAAGTGAATGTAGCTGCAATTGTATGCTCTTAGATATAGTCTTGTTATTGTTGTTCATTAATTGCCAACAAAACATTTTAGACAATGGTTCTAGGAAAGAGTTGAGAGGCTCACACTGTATTTATTTCAACCAATGAATAAATATCTGAAGGCCTTTGTGGAGTTTATATGGAACATTTAGTTAGATCAAAATCTAACCCTAATGGAGTATGTGTATTTTGCAAATGCTAAACTTGGGTTAGGCTTTTTTTGTCTTAATATGCTTTGTAAATGAAGCCTGTTTAGTTAATTTCTAACACAGTGTGAATCCTCAAATGGGTCAAATGGGTCAATTCAGTGTCCAGGGAAGTGTGTTGTTTAAATGCAAATCTTAACTTCAAATCTATTTTAAAATATCATTTAATTGAAAAAAATCTATTTAAGGATAATACCTTTAAAAGATATGTTCTAGGAAGTATACCTTGCTCCCTATGCATGCCAATCTGTCTCTTAATAACAGCTCACTTTTGTGTTGCTGGAATCCATCATCCCCTGCCAGGGCTTCTTTTAGTGGCCGCATCAGGTCCTTGGTCAATGTTGATGATGATGCTTCCTGCTGTCTCGTGAGGGCTGGTGCTGCTAATTGCTTGGAGAGAATGATGGAGTTGACAACTCCAGATACACCAGGACCCTCTTGTACAAATGTTCATAAAGGACCCCATTTACCAACTGCATGAACACTGCAGGGGCTCCTTGTAGCCCAAATGGCATCACCCAGAATTGGTAGCACCTGGCTTTCATGCTTTCTCACTTGGTAGGATACCTTCCTCGAGTCTAGCTTCGTTTGCAAGTTGGCCCAATGTCCTGCATTAAGGGGATACATAATTTCCACACATATACAGTTTAGCTCTCTATAGTTGATGCACAACCTAAGGAACCCATCTTTCTTCTCTTTGAACAGCACATGGGCCGCCATTCTCGATTTTGCCAGTTGAATGAAGCCCCTGGCTAAGTTCTTATCTGTAAATGTGCAAAGCTCACACATCTCCCTGGGTGTCATAGAATATAGCTTTGATTTTGGCAGCTTAGCCCCAGATACAATCTCAATCACACAATCTGTGGAACTGGGGTAGAAGTATGTCAGATTCCCTCTTGCCAAAAATCTTGGCCAGGTCCCGGTTTTCCTTGGGAATCTGGTTCTGAGCTATCACTCTCTTTTTAAGATATTGCCTGTCTCTGTCTTCACTTTCTTAACTGCAGACATGTAGCAGCTTCTTAGTACTTTCCCTAATTCCTGCTGGTTGGATGTTTTCCTTCACAGGCACCATTTGTTTCTTCCCAATCGACCTATGGGCTCCATTTTTTCCACCATGCCAGGCCGAGGACCATGGCCTCTGTCATCCCCAGGGCCACAATAAATTGAATAGTTTCTGGCTTTTAGCTTCACAGGCTCCGTTAGTTTGGTTGCTGGCATTCTGCCCATTATTCAACTGTCTAGCTGGGAAAATACTACGAGTTTTCTTAGCTCTCTTAGCCTCATTCCTAGCTTCTCTACTATTTGGGGGCTGACCAGGCATCTGGTACACCCTGAGTCCAACAAGGCCATAAGGGTTCCCTTTACTCCCAAGGACGACATTGAAATCTCCACTAGCAGTCAAAGGGATGATGGTGCCACTTACCATCAGATCGTCTTTGCTGTCACTCTCATAGAAGACTGATCCCATCTTGTCAGTGGCTGGAGTTCCCTCACCCACTGGATGGAGGGGAGAACTCTATGACCTGCTGTCCTGCATGAATTTTCTCTTTTGGTTTCAGTGGAGCTTTTTTCTTCTTCGGTTGGCTCAGAGGAGAGGGACTGGTCATTGGCTGCGGTTCGAAGCATTTGGCAACTCAGTGTCTGTCCTTTCTGCAGAAAAGCAGCCACCAAGGTTCTGGTGGGGTCTTCCTCCTCTGAATGGTGGTGTGTTCTCTCTTTCTCCCCTGGGAGCTGCTTGCTTCTTTGTTAGCTGGCAAGGTCAAGTCTCATGCCCGGTGTGTTCATGGAATTCTATCAGGTCGATCTCCACCTTTGTGGCCATGCAGTCCTATGCTCACAGTTGTGCAGCACCTCCCTGGGCAGGTAATTCTGGTACAGCTTCTTGTTTAACCCCTCTCTGAAATGGTGGACCAACATGCATTCAGGCCAATCTCTTAGGAGTCTAGCCAAGTGGCAAAAGTCTTTGTCACTGGTTGCTTCCCTTGCTTTACGGAATGGATATGGGCTTCCATGCATCAAACCACCATAAAGGCCTCAAACGCTCCATGTGGTACCAACTTGAGCCAAGAAATGGGCTAGGTGGCTTGGGTGCCCATTGAAACAGACCACCAAGGAGGATGGCTGCCTGTATCAGAACATATCTGGGAGGGGGGAATGCCAGTTGCCATCACCCATGCCAGGATCTAAGCTGTGAGCACTTACGCTAGGCTGATGGTTGCAGCGGAGGAGGCGTGATGAAGCTGCTTGCATTGGCGGTCCAACCATAGCTGTGGCTAGCAGTGCCATCGGCTGAAGTATAGGGGGAAGGGGAGTTACCAGACCCATTGGGGGTTTTCCTGGCATCATTGCTGCATGAATCTCCATCCCTCTGAACTTCTCTCTCAACTGCTGCACGGACAAGCTGTGATTAGCATTTGGGATCTTCCACTCCAAATGGGTCATCCCATTTGGCTAGTTTCCTTGCGTTTCATTTACTGCTTTGGACCATGTTGATTCCAGTAGGGGGAAGGGCGTCTTCTTCCTCCCGTCCCACCCACATTCATTGCCCAGTGAGTCTTCGGCCCCTGGTATGGGGCTTTCCTTACTCACTCATTTATGGCTGAGGGTGACTGCTCAGACTTCTCAGGTTTTTGCTTTGGGGGCGTGCCAATGGCTTGCGTCCCTGCTGCGGCTTGAAGCAGTGTCAGTTCCTCATGAGATCTCTCCTGGCTTCTTTTTCTCCTCTGTGTCTTTGGTCGCAGCTGATATGTCAAGGTTGATCTCCTGGTGAAGTCTATGTAAGTTATTACAAAAGAACTGGCTTAATGTCAACCGTCCCAATATGCTAGCCAGCAAAAGAAGCTCCTGAGACATTTTTTTTCTCCAAGAGTATACTTTACTGAAAAGCCATGAAATAAGATACTGTAGATAGATAGATAGATAGATAGATAGATAGATAGATAGATA